AAGGAATTTTAGAAAGAAACCAAGAAAATAATTTAGAGGGTACCGGATTCCCTCCTTATTGTCCGGCAAAATTACAAAGGTTATTGAGATTTGCTTCTTTTCTTCAATGTCGGCGGTCATCGTTAACGCAAAAAATAGTAATTGTCTCATACTGCTCGGCGGCTTGTTTTTTGTTAATTGCTACTCAACAATCCTCATACACCCTGCCGCTAAGATAATTAGCATCAAAAGCCGGTTGTTTACGACCACCTAATATTCCTGAACCGCCCATGAAGATAATAACATTGACTGTAACGCCTTCCTCTCCCACATAGATTTTAATTATTTCCTGACAAATTTGTTTCAAATGAAAAGTAGTCAAGTCATAATTTTCGGGATGACGATCGAAACCGGTAGAAGTTCGGCCTGGATAAAAAAGTTTGTGTTCCCCGCTTACTTCCCCATTTTCATTACGAATCCTACCTCATACTGGTCTTACTCGTTCTGTTCTCCCAGTCGGAAGCCCGTAGTTTGGATTTAAAGGCATATCATTCCTATCTCTCCCCCCATCATTACGGTCTAACACATCTCTTTCTTCCCACTCATCCTCCTTTAATCTATACCGCCCCACTAGGTTCACTCGGCGACGGAGAAATTCGCCAACCTCCATAAAACTTCTACTTTCCCGATCTCACACTCTATTTTGATTATCAACTCATATTAATTCAGCACTGTCATAGTCACTATATTCTTTTTCCTGGGCTGTTAAAGACCCCGAATGAAAAATTATCCATTCGGTTTGACTATTAATATCAATTATCTTTTGCTTCTGGCTATCGTCTAACTGATAAGAAGGCAAATTTAAACTATCGAGATAATTTCTGGTTAATTGTTTTATTTGGTCATTCATAAGTATTAATTTTGTTGTATTTGGGCTTGAAATTGTGTTTCTAACTGAATAATCAGCCACTCTTGCAATAACCCTTGTAATTTTGCCGGACAATAAGGAGGGAATCCGGTACCCTCTAAATTATTTTCTTGGTTTCTTTCTAAAATTCCTT